GTATCTGACTCTGTCTTTCGTCCCACTTCGCCACCACTACCACCGGCAAATTTTTCCTTCGTCGCTTCGTCAACGTACATACCTCCCAGCACATCTGAGCTGCTGAATCGTGTGAGGGAAGCCAAAAGAAGTGGCAAATCCATGGACGAGGTCATCCACGAGCTACAAAACGAGTTTTATCCTTTACTTCCTCCACCGGGATACGTTATACCTTCACCTAGCCTATATCGCGCCACAGTGGCGAAACTCGAACGCCTAGAGCGGTGCGGCGGTCTTTTGAACTCGCTGAAAAGGGAGCTCGAGGATGAAGAGAATGAGGATAGTTCGGGAACTGAGGATGACTTGAACGCCGAACTGGAATATGTTGATGTCGTTGCGCCAATTCCTCTTACGAAGAAGAATGTGGCATCATGGTCATGGCGGTCAAGCTTCTGGGACTACCTGGAACTATCTGTGTCAATATCTGCAGGGAAGCGGAGAAAGAGACAGCCAGAATTCGATGGCGATAAAGAAGACGATTGGGCTCAAAGGAGCGTAGATGAAATCAAGGGAAGAAGGCTGATATCCGGTGTTCGGAGCAGGAAGAGAAGAAGAGTAATATGATATAGCCATATCAATTGATAGCAATGGAGGAGTTCTCTAGAGTTGAATGCATACGTATACAGTACCGGGTGATCCTACGTATATGCCATATAATCACATAGTCAATCGCCTACAAGTCGGTTGCAAAAGATCGAGGTCTGAATCTCTGCCGGGCCTTCCAAATGGACCACCGCTCCATGCAATAGGCCATACCGGCATTGAACATACGCTCTAAAAATCCCTCGTCAGAGTTATGCGGTGACGGTGAGGAGGATTGAACACGCACATCCAGATCACAAATTTCTTCGCATCTTAGCCACGAAGACCACTCCAACCATTTCATTAAGGAATTTATCCTGCTATTCCACGCAGATATGTACGTCGGATAACTGACTGAGTCCGCCAAATCTGTGCTCTCGGCGAAAAGTATTCCAAAGTCATTGCAAATCCGCTCGAGAATAGTCTCCATGCTTGTCTTCAAAATGTGTTCTGAATTCGTCATGAGGATCTCAAGCTTTGACTCGGCTAGAAATTCAGTGGCGGAATATGTGCATCGTTCAAGTGCAGTGGTATTCGGGGTCATAGTACCGAGAACAATCAAAGGGGAGGAGCGGACATTGAATACGATTTCATGCCCTGAGGCATTAAGTGCTTCACCATAGGCGATGAAGGGATCAAGAGGCGAGTAGGACAATTGCTGCACAGTCCTGACAACGTGGGTCAAGTTTGAGGTACTATTGACAGCTTCCAGTAAGTTCTGAATTTGTGCGATGCGATCCGCCCAAAATGTCACGATATCCATCGCTGCGGCTTGCCAGTCAAAACTAGTCCCAGGTGAATCAGCGCGAATGACTGAGTCTAACTCATCCAGGAATGTACCAACGTCGTCGTCTGAAACGTGTTCCCATAAGAAATGCTCTTGCATAAGTTTCCCGGACCGGCTGGGGACCAAGCTACGATATCGAGGATGGTAAAACGAGACCATTTGGTGGTAGGAAAGCGACAGATGAGGTTGGACGGTCGAGTGATATCGCGAAGCTGCACGCAACCATTCTAAATTTCCAGTTCGAGCAAGGGGTGCCATGTCGAAACCCCATGGTCCATGACCACCGCCAGGTCGCCGTCCCCTACCAGGCCCACGGCCGGGACCTCGCGGGGGTTGTAAAGGAAGCTCATCCACCGGGAGCTCGTTCAGATCGACATTAGAGGGAAATGGGAAGGAACGTCGAGTTTCTGGAGTTCCTGGAGGCGTAATGTTCAAGCTACTGACGAGCTTCAGCGAAGAAGATTCAAAATCACACCAGATGATTTCGCTAAAGGAATGATCAAAGGAAGTCGAGACAGGGATATGAAAAGTAGCACAGACAATCCGGCATTCATGCGAACTATTCCTTCAATATCCCTTTGCTTGCCCCACTGACAGAGTCCTTTTGCTCGTCCGTAATCATCCCACAAGCTGACTTCGTTATTTCTCGACCCATTCGTCTTCCCTTTACCAGTGAGTACGCTGTACTGAGTATCAAGCCATCCTTCGCCCCAAGCGGCTGACATTCCATTGAAGTAAAGTACCTTTGCAAGTTTCGTTGTCCTGTAGGTGTACATGTATGTCGGTCCCGGTATCTTGGTGGCCATGACTGCGTAGCTCATTTCAGGATCGAAGGCCAACCATTCTGGAGATGGCGGAGGAGTTTGTGCATCTTTTCGAGCATGATAAAGTAAGGTATAGGGCTCGATTACACCAGGAATAATCGTGTGCCCATTCGGATGGAAGGTGTTCGGCCACTGAATCAAGAGAGAGTAAAGGTCATTGAAAATGTATGGTGCGGTAGAATTATTCAGGTCCGGATGAGCTAAGACTAGAGAGACAAAAAGCATAAATTGAAAGGAGCATTTGCGGATGAGATGAAAGACGTCCATACCTTCATTCAAATGTAGGACTTGAACGATAAGGTGCGTTGCTGCGCAATAACAATTTTGCCACGGTACAAAGCAGACTTTTGCGTCAACGTTCAACGAGGTTCAACGTCAACTCAACCGTGACATTGACTAGACAAGTGTGCATCAGGCTATGGAGTATCCTCTGTGGAAAACATTCTGTCGGTTCCTCCGGCGAGCGCATATGTCGGCATTAGGATCTGTTGGTCGAGCTTATGCTTTGACCAGCTTTGACCTGGAATTCGACTAGACAGACCTTTGCCAACATCATGAAGAATGATACGGGACAGTCACCGTGAGTGGAGGCAGGACCTACATGACCCTCGCGGAGTGGTTTAGAATCGTTCAGTTTTCCTTTACCATTTCAGTTCCATTTAGAACAATTTCCGAAAATCAAGTCAATACATACCGAGACGTGGGACGGAGAACGGGTATTCAAATAATCAAGGTAAAACTGGGTAGAGCATGCAGAATGCTGCTTCTGCTTCTGTTCGCACTTCTGTATATGATGGCTCGTGCATAACTTGGAAGCTTGTGATTCAAAGAATACGGGGCAGGTGCTTAATTTCATTCACAGTGCCGGAGTAACCGACGGAATTATTATACTGCCAATAAACAGCACGTATATGCTCACGTATGCCCGTTCCACACAAGGTTCCACAATCTGGCTGCCATTAGTAATTATTACGACGGTCATTAGCCAAATTCAAAACACCATCCCTCATTTTAGCGCATATCGCGCAATCTGGAGCGGCTACTACGGGTCATTGCGTTTAGCTATATAAATCCTCATTTCGGATTCTGGGACATTCTTCCTTATTCCCTCCCAATCATGGACCGCATTTTAGCACCGGAAATAGTCGAGCAGATAATCGACCAACTACAAGATGACAGAAAGTCTCTTCTCGCAACCAGTTTGAGCTTCAAAGGGATGCTTCTACGGAGCAGGTTTCACTTATTCGACTCGATAGAGGTCACAGTCTTCGCTGATCCTTCTGGCTGGAGTCAAGGCCGAGAGTCATCGGACTCACGAAGCCTGTCTGCACTCCTTAGGATCCTTGACTCCCCTTACAGCAGCATGGGGTTAGCAGTCCAGCGCCTAATCGTCAGTTTCGGATTCCACTTTCCCCAAACTTTGCCCAATGACCTTTCACGCATCCGGAAAAACCTCCGCAATGTCCGAACGTTACATTGGCGAGACGATACGTGGTGTGACGTTCCGAATGCATTCAAAACCCTTCTCTTTGATTTAAACATCGAAACATTCATAATATCCGGCATATGGTTCCAGAAAGCCTCGGAGCTCGTCGAAATGATCACCATGTGGCCCTCTACACTGCAGTCGGTCGTAATGGGTTCCATTGTTTGCTCCGGAGACGATACAACGAACATCGACGATACGTACAATGCTTTGACTAGACGCAACAAAATTCACTTCCAAACTCTACATTCAGCCTCGACATGGGCTGCTCATAACCTCTTCGGCTCAATGATAAATTCGAGCATGATTACCATAGATCGCTTCATCCTAGGAGTGCGCTTCCCCGATGAGGAAGAGGTCCAATGGGTAAATGGGATGTTATCCAGATATGGATCGACTTTCAACGAAATACAGCACCTGATACCGGTCCCCATTGCCATAGGTTTGTTTCATACCTTTCTATGGTCTACGTGAAGAACCCATATTGTTTTTCCCGCTAGAGCTACGAAATCGCGACCTTCCGGTGTTCGACCTCCGGGACTGCACCAATCTACGCGTTCTAAACATACAAAGTATATACCTCGGATGCTCAATGAGCAACATCCAGGAGCTTCTCCCTCTAGCGACCAGTGCTGTCCAGAACATTATCTCTTCAGTACCAAATCCCGCCTTGTTAGAAGAAATCAGAATCAGATTCGAGATTGATCTATCTGAATTCGAGGCGATGGCCGATATGGCTAACACCTCAACAACTGCACTCCCTCTTCATTCCGGTGACGCTGACAGTGTGCCATTCATGGACCAATTCGCACGATTCCATTGGGCAGAGTTCTCCAAGTTCTTGCTGGGTATACCTTCTCCTGGGACACCTGCGATTGGTGTTACATCCGACCCAAAGTCTGCCTCCAAGCACCATTATTCTCTCTCTCATATCGAGTCTGAATCCATCCCTCTTGTTGCTCGGTATCAGTCTTTGCACTCACCAAGATCTAAACGAGTTCATATTGAGCTTGGCGCATATCCATTCGAAAACAAGCTTTTTGAGGATATCTTTGTGAAGAATTACGACGAGTACGTGAAATATATGTATGAAAATGGGCTGAATCTCGTGGAGAAGGGAGGGAACGAGCTGGTTTTTAGTCAGGTTCAGTATTCAAATTCTTACGAAGTAGATAGACTAAGATAAATTGAAGTGTCTCGGACATCGATGTCGGTATGTACTATAGCTATGTGTGGATTTTCAAAGGAGGTAATAATGGAAGAATCTGCGAAAAACATTGAGGCATCAGTGGTCTAACGGTTATGATCCGGTCTTCCCATTGCTTCAAATGTGGCCGGGAAAGGGGTTCGACTCCCCTCTGATGCATTTTTATACTTTTGCATCTCATTGTTTGCGTTCAACGAATTACTGGGAGATTCGTTGAAGACTCGACTGACAGACAGACGGACCTTTCTATGGCCACCTATTTTATCATTATTTCCCTCAGCGCGCTCTTGTGACCTTCGTTTAGTATCTTTTTCGTCTGACCCAAGAAGCTATACGACTGAGTTATCAGCAGAAGACCCGCAGGCCGCAACAAGTCACTCAAAATCACCAGTGTTTGCTCCAATTCTATGCTTAGATTTTGACAGAACTAGACCATCAATATAGACTCCATAATAGAGGGAAAAATACTGGCTGTCAGGATTTGCTGCCTTTCAGTACATACTCTCCAAAAAACTAAGCGGACTGCGATTTATTATAGCGAGCGGCTGCCTCATGATTGTTCCTTCTATGAGATGTAGGTGATTGGTAGCGGCGCTAAGAATTCGACAAATCGAATTTCGATATGACATCGAATGTGAATGTGAATGTTGTCATTGCATGAGTATTGTTACAGCCATTGAAATGCATGCCAGTGCCACATATGGTGATAATCGTTCTCCTGGAGTCAATTCCTAGTATTAAAGGCTGTATGTTGACGGCGTTTTGTTAATGTACGCACCGATTCTAGCACCCATGAAGAAAAGACCTAGAAACCTACTCGCATGGTAATTAGCAACATATAAAAGCGAGCACAGGAACGACGCACCCTTCTTTATTTCTATCAACCAAACGCGGTGCTACGGCACGTACATACGTGCATGTACAAATTACCAGGAGAATGACCAGAAGCAGAGATTGAAAATTGAAGAGAGCAGACTAGACACAGCGCAGAGTGAGCATAGGGGCAGATATTAGAGAAATGCCTTGAAGAAATTACCATCTTCTCAATTCAAAGCCTCCTTGAGATTGTTGTGGACGTTAATGAGGAGCATACGTGCACGTTGATCTTCCAAATTCAGACAGCTCGGATTACCGTGCCGGCTTGAGCGCTTAATTGAGCAACTTGGACCGCGACAAGACCAGGACAAGACGCGACCCCATCTCACGCAATCCCGCTTCAGAAATGTGACTGGTTATCGACCTCCATCAAACTATGGAAGAAACTACACATGCACAACTATATTACGATGCTCAGCATCAGCCACAGTATATTGTACACCACATCCAATATGGCACCCCTTCGAATTTTACCCAAACAGTGGACAAGGTTTTATTACAAGAAGGAGCGAATTTAGTGCAACAAGTCAGAACCGAGAAAATCTGGCATAATGTAGAAATAAAGGCCCGGTACAATACACCCGCATTAATCATCTGTGTGTACCACCACGACTTTCTCTTCTTCACACTCGCTCACTTGACGCGTATTAGCTTCCCGAATTGTCACTCTTTCCCAACCTCCACCTCCAGCTATCATACCTGTGGCCTCTCCTGTAGTTACGAAGGCACTCAGAGACTGGCTTGAACCACCAACGGACGAGGAAATTTACGCTTTAGACGAATTAGAAGAATTCGAATCTACTGATCTCAGTGGCTTGCTTTGGATTACCTATGATAACGGGTCGCAATTTCAAGGAAAGAAACGGAGCCTTCCATTGGACTCGGAGCATTCGGAAGATTTCGACCGAGACAAGCCTAGTAAGAAAATTCTTCGCCTCGATAGTGACTCTCTGCTCCGTGTTATACCGCAGGTGTGTCACTCAACTTGATTAGCATCGTATAGTTCATGGCGAGCTGATGCGACTTAACCCTAGCCGCATATACAACTCTCCAAATCCTTCATACCTCCTAGATTTGACGCTATACAAGCCTACGACAGAGCACAAACAATCTCCCTACCTCCTTATACAGGCCCCCTTCCGTCGACAAACGATAATTTCAGCCGCAGAGCCTGGATCATCCCTGCTCGAGGCTATCTGCCTTCTGCTTGGAGTGAATCAGGCGCAAGCTCAGCTGTCGTTCTTGATCCGCAAGAGCCTGGCTTTTCTTTGGAAATGACAACCACAGGCTCGACAATAAAATGGTCCCATTTCGCCTTGAAGGAGTTTTGGAAATATTTGAATACACTCAGAGATTTGAATAAACTTGGATCGCTCGGAATATCTTTCCAACCTGCTCAAAGTGCTTCATTGCGACTCAGGAGGGAGAAGGAAAATTTATCATCATTGGGCTCGCCCGATGCACATCAAGGGCTCCATGTAGCCGAGTCGTTGTCGCAGTCTGGCCAATCAAGTACAACTTCTGGGGCCAGCTCGTCGCTGCGCGATTGCGACTACTTCAAAGTGTATCACGACGCGAAAATCTCAATGCATCTCAGACGTGCCTTGGATTTGTTTACCTTCCGCTTGGGTTCCAACGAGGAACAATCCGTCCACCTGGGGCAGTCCGAGAAAGCCGAGTTCTTCGAACAATCTAGGGAGTCTGGAGTGACCTCATCACCGAGCTCAGTATATTCGAAAGCGACAGAGAACTCGGAAGGCGAAGGTAGACCCAAAAGGAAGAAACCCAAGTACTGCTTACTCAGAGGAGCAAGGTTGGTTTTGGTGGATGAGAGGTCGAGAGGGATGTTGATTGCTTGAGGATTTGACAATATGGACTACATACAATCTGATTTTTTGGTATCTCAAATCCGTGGCGTGCCCTGAGGGACCATGACAGTGATTTAATAGCATATCGTCGTTGCACAGAAGGAGAAAAAATGAACTGATACTTTGAAATTGGTACATAATGTATCAAATGAAAGAGAATGTATAACCGAAAGACGTACGTGCACTGCACACAAGAGACTACCAACGAGCCCCGTATTCATTCAGAAAGGTCATTCAGAATTTAGCACAACAGTGTCCGTCAATTGTTTATCAACAGCATCTTAATCACCACCACTCATCTCTGGCCGATCCGATTCACAAAGGCACCTCAGTGGTCGCGGGACTTTCTGGTACGAAAGATCGATAGGGAGTTAGCAATGCAGTACAACTACTACATAGCGTGGCGAAAGGCTTACCTATATTCGCCTTCGGCAGCGACGCTGAGCTCTTCGATCTCACCCTGGACACCGGACAAGGCTTCCGCAGCAGTGCTGAAGAAAACGAGCTGGCGAATAAAATATTAATATTTAACAGATGTCGTCTCAGTGATTTCAAAGAAAACGTCTTACCTGAGCTTTGACGAGCTCGTTCAAATTCTTGAGAGGTTCAGGCTGAGAAAAAAAGGTGAGGCCAACATAGAACGAAAGCAAATAAAATACCCTACATTTTCCAAAACGGTCTTCATTAAGGTTATCGCGACTTCGGTCTTCTGAACAAGGTCGTCCTCGGCGTTCTCGACTTCCAGACGAGCTTGCTCCTGACGGGCGGGAGATGCGGTCTTGAGGCTATTCAAAAAATATAAGTTGCTGTTCTTAGTGACTTGATGGGCAAGTTCAAACGCACCCTTGCTTAGCCGCATCCAACTCCAACCTACTCGTCCGGACTGCCTGCCTGGCCTTCATAGCAACATTGATGCTGGTGCTCAACGTCGTCTGCCAAGGGTGAAGATACCCCTCCTGGACGGCGTTATCATGATGAATACGGGCGTTGGAAATAGTTTCATTTGCCTGAGCATACATAGCAAGCGCTTTACCGAGTTTACTGGAGTCTCCGGCCGGAGTTGAGATGAGCAGTTGTGAGGCCGTATGAGAGGCGCGAGTGAGAGCATGAGGAAGGGTTTTGTGCGGAGTCTCAAGGGGAGGACGAGTAGGAGCGGCACCAGGAGAAAGAGGAGTGCCTTTCAGGTTAGTGGCAGCAAAGTGCTGGAAACCAGTGCCGATAGTATTGGAGAGCTCGGAAATGGATTCCTGGATTTGTACAGGGTAATCGTAGGCCTCGGTTTCATATACCTGGAATTACACGGATTATATAAAGAACAGCTTTGGTTTGCTGCCATACCTTTGTGATTCTGGACCAATTTATCAGACTAGGTTTACACAAAGATGACCTGTACGTACTTCAACATTGCAAGGTGTGCATTTCTGAGAGCATCTACTCGAGCTTCAAGATCCTTATACTCTGCGATGACATGTCAATTTAACAAAATCATTTGATTGACAAACTCGACACGAACCTTGAGGCAGCTCAGTAATTTCATCTTGAGAGACCTGGCCAAGCCTTTCCTTAGTAGCCTGAACGCTTGACTGAAAGCCCTTCGTGAATTTATTCGCGCTTTGACCGAGGTTCAGATTAGCGAAACCGCTTTGTAGAGTTTTCCAGCCTTCCATATTCCTTCTTCGAGTAAAGTGACCGGGTAAGGTAGAGATTTAGAGAGAGTAATGTAAACGATCCGAACGAAATTGGACGAAGGAGGAATCTGCTGTTGTAGTGGTAGGCAAAGAAACGTTTCAAGCGGTTCGAGACCGCCGGAGAATTGCCGGCACTGCCCCGTGACGGAGGCGCGCACGATGAATTTATTCTTATCAAGCTGCGTACAGATCTGCAGGTCTGATTCTGAATCATGCAAGAATAAACGTAGTACATTGACAATGGTACAGTACAGGTAATAAAATGACCAGGATTCCAATGAAAATCAACAAACATAACATAACATAACAGCCCGGCTCAAAGTCTTTCACTGGAGTTCACTGGGGGGACATCATCTTCGCGAATGGATTGTTGGATTTAAATCTGGGCTGCGTGGAAGCAGGCTGCACAGGCTGTAGTTCCGAATAGTAGTAAGATCGTTCTCTGGGCTGATTCTGCTGCTGTCCCTCATGATACATTTCCTCACCAGGACCACTGTAGTTGTTCCGCTCGGGATGATAGTCCTGGTAGTATTGGGTATCAGGTCCCTGCTGGGGGTCATAGTAGTACTCAAGCTCTTCTTCTCGATTGTCGTAGAGGCCGTACTCATCCCCCTCGATTATCCGTGCATCAACGTGTGTAGGTGCACTAGAGGGTCGATGTAGAGGGTTTTCCCCGAAGTATGCCGACCCAGGGATAGTAGGGATGTTGCGTTGACTCGGTTGAAAG